CCCCCTTCCTGACCAGGCCATTTTTTGCTTTACAGCGCTGCATTACTTTAACTGACAATTAGCGGTCATGCAACGCTGCACCCAAATAAAAATTTACATCCTTTTTTTTTTTTTTCCCCCCCACGAGTAGAGCTTTCTTTCAGTGGTATTTGATCGCCTGTGCATTTTTAAATTTTTTTGTTATTAAAAAAAAAAAGACCCACAATTTTGAGAAAAAACCCCCCCAATATTTTTACTTTTTGCGATTAAACATGTCCAGTAACGTGTAAACGTGTAAATTAATTGGTTTACATGAAAGTTAAGGCGTTTACAAATGGCGGTATATATATACTGGGACTTTTTATTTTTACTAGTAATGGCAGTGATCAGGGACTTATAGCGAGACTGCGGCGGGCATTCTGACACTGGGGGAAACTGACTTGGTGTCACTGACATCCCCAGTGACACCAATACAGTTATCAGTGCTAATAAAAAGCACTGACACTGTACTAATGGCACTGGGCAGGAAGGGGTTAACATGTGGGGCGATCAAAGGTTTAGTGTGCTGTGTACTTTTTTTTTACTAGAGGCTGTGTCTGTGTACTTCACTGTAAGCACGCTGCTTTGCATGGTTGTGCTGTTCAGTGTGCAGGAGCTCAAAGAGGAGAAAAGTGTTTTGTTTCTATTGGAGATGCTCGGCAATCACTGGGCACCAGCGAGTAATCACCGTCCAGGACCCGGTGATTTACATCCAGGGCCCTGAATGGTGGCACCGCCCCTTACCCGGAAATGCAACATCACGTATGTGATTTTGCGCACATGTGCCACCCTGTAGAATTACTTCTGCTATAGGGCAGATGGGAAGCGGTTAAAAGTATATGTAAACCCTCACCTTGTAAACAACCCATTCAGTTTAAAATGGAAATTAAAGGCAAAACATTTGTGTATATGTGTGTGTGTGTGTGTGTATATATATATATATATATATATATATATATATATATATATATATATGTGTGTGTATATATATATATATATATATATATATATATATATATATATATATAAAAAATATAAAAACAAATACATTTTCCCCCTTCTTTATAAGTGATCACATACCCTCTGTTCTCAGATGTATAAGAGCTGGGGGGAGCTGATCTTCCATGTGAATGGGGTATCAGCAGATGTTTGATCACTGGAGGAGAGCACACTGAGTTCCCAGCATAGCTATAGAACTGACCACTCTGTGCTCTAGTGTGGTCAGTTTTTAATAGGAAAGCATATGGACTGGCAGGAACACCAGGGATTTCACACAAAGAAAGCAATACACAGAGAACATGCTAGTTTTTCCATACAAGTACATGGTACAGCATGCACATATCAGGAATATGAAATGTTGGGTTTACATATTCTTTAAGTTAATAAGTAAAAGATGATTTGTGATTGGCCCATAAAAGTCACACTACCTTTGTTTTACTTTCCATTAATAAATAAGCCAATATAGGTGTTGTAAATTAAGGAAATGTATTGGTCATACTTCCAGAATATTAACCTTGTAGTACAATCTGCTAAGGTGTCCTTTTTTTGAAAATCAGTTCCTGCCCCTAAGGAGCTTACAATCTAATGTTCAAATCTCACGTACACACACGTACACACACACACACACTGTTCAGGAGCCAATTAACCTTCCAGCATGTCTTTGGAGTATGGGAGGAAACTCATACAATTAATGGTTGAACTCCATGCATCCTAGTGGTATAAGGCAGAAGTGCTAACTAAGCCAACTTAATTTGAATGGTACGAAATAAAAAGTCTTATTAAATAAGTAAAGTTTCCCTTGAATGAAAGGCAAATGAAAGCAACTTAAAGCATCATAGAAGTACCTGAAGGTATACCAGAGTTGCCTCACTTCTGAGTCTGAAGCCCGTCCACACAGGGCCAAAACCAGTGTGCATGCCAAATGCAAAAATCAAGTTAGTACATGTGTTTTGGACAAATCCCTGATCATGTTGCACCGCTACAGTAAACTAAAATTGTCACAACCATGACCTAAGGCTTTTGTGGTAGGCACTAAAGTTGGCGCATAGACGGAGCAAATTTTGCTCAGTGGGTGGACTTGTTGGCAATCTCTTGGCCATCAAGGAGCTAGGACGTTCTCTGCAGGAACTGCTGAATGAAAAGCCACCAGCTGGCATTCTTCTATCCACATGGTTTAGTATGGATGGAGGAGTCAATCAATATTTCTTGTTCAGCACAGTAGCTGAAGGAGAAATCTACATGTATATGGCCAACTTTAGCCTTTAAAGCTGAACTCCAGGTATGATACTAATAGCAAGTTTTTCTACTTCCGTTATCCTTATAGGTGAAACTAAAAGCATTAGACCAACGGTGATCAACTTGAAAATTATAGAGGTCCTCAAGTACACCCCCTGACAACCCCCAGAATTGGTATAAGTGAGTGCAATAACAACCCTCTGCATTGGTGTGATTAGGTTTACCCCACTAGCATTGGTGCCAGTGAGTCCAATAATAACCCCCTATTATTGGTATGGGTGAGTGCAGTAATATCCCCTAGCATTGGTGTCATTGGATGCAATAATATCCCCCAGCATTGGTGCCAGTGCAAAAATAACTCCATCATTGGTGTCAGTAAGCGGTCCCTCAGGTATGAAATGTGTACTTGAAGCGGTAGTAAATCCTGAAAAAATATTTCTGGGCCCCTGCAAGTTAATGGCATGAAAGACTTGCCTGTAAAATGAGGCCCTCCAGCGGCGCACTGTCACAGCTTGACAGGACTTCCATCTTCGCTCAGGCTTGTTTCCGGGTTCATGGGCTCCAGCCTTTTGAATGGCAGAACCACGATGATGTCACTCCTGAGCATGCATACGAGAGCCACAATCATGGCACAGCGTTCAGTATGCCATCCCTTCAGAGCACAGTTCACATGCACTGGTAACATCACCAGCTGCAAAATGTGACTATCTCCTAAACCAGTGTTTCTTAACCTTTTTTTAGTCAAGGCACCCTTTAAGATTCTGCACAATCTCAAGGCACCCCATTCTAAAATGTAAAAAACTATTCTACATACATCCAGTACACCCAACGTTAGAGGAGATTTATTCTTCCAAAGCAAATACACCTTTGCATACTGGTATCAACTAGTATTCCAGTGTGTCTCTCTTCCTCACTCTGCTAATGTGACTCCAGTGCTGATGGAAAGGGGCAAACAAGGATGATGTGCATGCACCCCACGTCCTTATCAACTGATGATGTCATTGGTTGTTAGGATGCTGGCAGCTAGAAAGTCATAAAAGCGCACAATGAAAACCTATGGCTTTGTGTACTAAAAGTCAGGATTGATCCACTTGTTGGCTTGTATCCAATTTTTGGGCATTTTGCCAAGGCACCCCTGAAGAAGTCGGCACACCAGGGGGCCTGGGCACCCTGGTTGAGAGAGGCTGTCCTAAACCGTGCACGTTATAAACTTGTATTATAAGCTTACCTTTTAGGTAGCCCACGTATGGTTTCGGGAAAGGAATGAGATTGATTTTCTCATCAACACATTCAGTGTTGACAGGGGAATCCCTCCTGCCGAGCTATTGTGTTTTTCCGGTGCTGGCAGATTCCCCAGTGATTATTGCTAGTGGCTATAACAGACACTAGCAATAACCACATGTAAAATCCAGCAGGTTGTTCGATCGATCAACTTGGGTACATTCAGCCTGCCCATACATGGTTCGAACCTCTGCTAGTTCAGCAGGAACCAAACCGTTTATGGCTGGCTTTAGTTAAAAGTTGCAAAGCTTTAAGTTGGTCAAAGCTGGATCCATGTAACTATGCAATTATGATCATACCTGCAGTTCACCTTTAATTGCTTTGATGTGGTGAAGTTTTCTATGTCTGTTATGAGCAAACAACTCCTGCTAACTGTTGTTTCAGCCCAAGTTAAGCCTGGCACCAGCGATATTTAATCACTTCCTCTGTTGTGTGATTTGTGCACTGGCAGGCAGCACATGCTTGTATTTTATACAATGTTTGAACAGTCTAATGCCTTTAGTTGGCTTCACCAATAAAGGTAACGGAAAGAGAGAACAGTATTTCTGCTTTATATATAAATGAACCTGCTGAGAACCGTGGGATGGGTGAGATGCACCTAAGTGTCACTGCTTGGCTTATGTAGGAAACATTAGACACTGAATTTATAATGTAACAGCTTAGAGCTTGTTCTTTCCTCCTGTGAAGTGCTGAGACAGCTGTCTTGCATGGGTGGAGCAATGAGCAGTACAAGTCATAGGTTATTGGGGAGGCAGAACTTTATCTCACCTCTGTTCTCGTTGAGTGTGGTGCTGTGCACAATGACTGTTTACTGATGATCACTTTAACAAACTCTTGGCTGTACACGCTGTATTTGGTAAGCACTGCTTTAAGGATAGAGAACAGTGTTTTTTTTTTTTTTCTTTCTTTCTTTTAAACAGCACATATAAATGAAGATGAATTTCCTTTTTGTTGCTCATAGGGATAGACCATCTTAATTTATTGCATGTGTCAGCCTCCCATCCAACGTTCCTAACAAACTCTGATGCCTGAAGTTAAATAAGCAGTGCTGGCAAGAGTATTTGTTTGAACACACTTTGATTAAAATATGAATTGTTTTTTTTTTTCCAGGTCCCTGCCTCAAGAAGACCAAGTGGCGGAATACCCCAGCTTAACATTCACAGCTTCTCACACTGGTGTTCCTGCATTCTGATTTTTAGGACTTGAATGAGATCACCGTAAACTCTGAATGACTGTTAATTAAAAAGATGTATGGGTTCATAGAGCATGCTGATAAAGCTGCTCATTTTTGTAGATAGGTTTTTTGTTTTTTACATCTCTGTACTGTACCTGTTTTTTTTTCTTGGCTGCTGTGAAACCTTTTGTATTGAAGCTGGAGGCCTTAGACGTGGCTCCTTCTTTCCTCAAGACCTCTCTGATTTTTACGTGATGGTTCCAGAGCGTGATGTTAGGCCCAGTAGTTTGTGATGTCATCCCTGACCCCACCCTGCGAGGGCAACTGCTCGACACCCAGATTTTTTGTTGGTGCCCGAGATGATGAGACAGACTTCCTGGAATCAAACATGAATCCTGACGAGGTTGATTTCTATGAAGAAGAGGAAGATGAGGATGAGGAAGATGCGGTAAGAAATGCAATCTTTTTTTATTATCTGAACATAAGAGAATTTCCAATATTGCCACTATATCCAAATTAAAAAACATTTTGAAACCATATTCATGGACACATTGCAAACAGGAATATAGGTGATAAAGAGAACATTTAATACTAAGAATGACATATCAGGAGGCATTCTTGTTCTATCCACAGGTTACTTTGTGTTCAGTATTCTCATAAAAGTTGTTTTGTTGCCTCTCTTGTCTTTAATGGCAACTTACATAGAGCAATAGGCTGCACAACAAATGATAAGAATTGTGTATAGATTTGTACAATTAAGCAGCTGTACGGTATAGTGTCATTTTTTTGTTCTGAGGTATAGAGGTCTTTTAATATGTTCATATTTCTTGAAAATTTAAATTTTGTCTTAACTTAATTTAAAGTGGTTGTAAACCAAGATATTTGTCCCACCTTGTCTCACCCGGCGAATTGAGCCGGAAGTGGGAGCGGGTAACTGCTCCCCCCCTCCCCCCCCCAAAAAAAAAGGTGCCAAATGTGGCAGTGGAGGGGGGGAGGAGGTAGAAAAGCGGAGCTTCTACTTTAGGGTAGAACTCTGCTTTAAGCAACATCACCAGGACCTGCGTCTCAGGCTTGGCCCAGCCTATGACTCGAGCATTGCTGAGGTATATAGAATAAATGTGGGCACTTGCACCTCAAAGTATAGCATAGTACATAAGTGCAAGCTTGGCGCTGCATATGCAAAGCCTCAATCCTTGGCTCCATCAACCCAAGATATATGATATAAAGGGGTTCTTAGTTGACTCACCAGAAGTGAGAATTTTAGAAACCATGCAGCACATGTGAGCCAACTGATTTGACCATTTTTTAAGTGGTTGTAAAGGCTGAAGGTTTTTTCTATGCATGAAGGTGAAAAAAACTTCAGTATACAGCTCCCCCTCAGCTTCTACTATTACTCACCTGAGCCTGATCTCCATCCAGCGATGTGCATGAGAAGCAGAAGCTCTCCGGGTCCTCTCTCTCCTCATTGCTGTCAATCACAGCCAGTGAGGGTGGTGTGGGGGGGGGGGGGGGGGGTGCCGAGCCATGCTGTGTGTGTCTCAGACACACAGAGGTGGCTCGGAGCGAGCGCTGAAGAGTGACCCCAGAGCAGGCAGCTTGCTTTGGAGGCACTCAGCTGGGAAGGGGGAGCGTCAGGCCAGGAGCACTGGCAGAGGACCCGAGAAGAGGAGGATCAGGGCTGCTCTGTACAAAATCATTGCATAGAGCAGGTAAGTATGACATGTTTGTTAGTTAAAAAAAAAATCGGAACCTTTACAATCACTTTAACCGCTTCAGTACCGGCACTTTTACCCCCTTCCTGCCAATTTTCAGCTTTCAGCGCTTTTGCACGTGAAATGGCTATTGGTCAGTCATGCAACACTGTACCCAAACTAAATTTTTATTCATATAAATAAAGCTTTCTTTTGGTGGTATTTGATCACCACTGGGCTTCTTATTTATTGCTAAATAAACAAAAAAAATCCTAAAATTTTGAAGAAAAAACTAACTTTTTTTTTTTCGTTTCTGTTATAAAATTTTGCAAATAAATAATTCATAAGTTTAGATCAAGATGTATTCTGCTACATTTATTTGGTGAAAATAACCCAAATCAGTATATGTTATTTAGTCTGTAGGAAAGTTAGAGTCCCCAAACTATGGTATATATCCGAAAATCGATCAATCCTGCTGTACTGACGGCCGATCTTATTTCTTCAGGCCCAAAAATGCCAGGACAGTACAGATGTCCCCCAAATGACCCTTTTTTTGGAAAGTAGACAGTCCAAGGTATTTAGTAAGAGGCATGGCAAGTTTTTTTTTTTTTTTTGCTTTGTAATTTTTTGCCATATTTTTTGGAAAATGAAGAAATTAAAATTTTTTTTTAAAAATTTCACAATTTTTTTTTTTTTTTTTTTTACCTGCTGTCACCAGTTCAGTACAGCGTCATCATATAACTGGTGTGGCGGTGATCAGGGACACTGTCTGGTGACAGTACAAAATAAAAAAAATTACAAGCATTTTACTGATTGAAATCCATTCATTCAGTTTGTTTTGTTGTGATTGGCCACAGCTAATGACATGACACAGATGGGCTGTGATTGGCCCAGTCTGTACCATGCGACCACTGTGACCAATCACAGCTAACACAATTGTATACAATGGATGGCATGAAAGGAAAGCCATCCATTGTTTACAATTGTCATTTCCTGTTGTGATTGGTCATATAGGTCATATGTAATGGGCCGGTACACAGATCAGTCATCGGGTGTGTCCTGTGGACACAGTTGGTGATAGATCTCGCCACGGCCCCGTGGGCATGCGCAAGGCGGCGATCTGAGAGGGCGTCATATGACGCCCACCCAGATCGACGAAAGAGCAGTTTATTGTGGTCAGTCATGAAAATTTAAATTCATTTCTTTTACCCCTTGCTTACAGACATGCAGCCTGTCTTTTACCTAGAAAAATCCATTCCAGGTATGGTGTCTATACCATAGTTACATTGGTTTAGCTTGGACCAATGTATTTATGCGTATGCTCTCCATGTGGGATTGCTCACTTGGTATGAACACATCATGATCTCCAGCTAGTCCAATCAGAGAACATCTTGCATTCATTTAGAAAAATGAAGGTCGTTATGTGAATGGACGAGTAACCCTCCTGTGCAGCAGGGCAACTGCTCAGCACAAGACCTGGCTATCGCTGTAGTAGTGGAGACTACTACAGCGATTCTCAGCTTCCACAGGTATGGAATATGCATGTTTTACATTGATCCATGCTGGACCGATGTAACTTTGCTATAGAATCTATACCTGTAATTCAGGTTTCATGGAGATGTTTGAAACAGTGGTGAGTCACAGCAACTGAGCATCTTATCATGCAGAATGTGCACAGACCTGTGTTGTTGTGAATATTAAGGGGACCTGCCCTTTACAATGGGTGTGAAGAAGTCTGTGGTAAAATATATACTTTTTTCACCTTGTGCTAGGGGCCTTTTTTTTCTCCCATTCAACGGAGCAGGCTGAACAAAAAAAGACTGGGAAATCGCTGTACTAACACAGGCAGTGCTGGAGAAGTGATCTCTGCCACTGTGCCTTTGTGTTCTGACAGGGGACCCCCCCCCCCCTTTTCCTGACAGAATACACTGATCAGTGCTTATAGCCATTGGCTGCACCCACTGATGGAATGCTGGTTTTCCAGTATGCCCCTTCAACAAAAGCAAGTCATTAGACAGCTGTACACACTGACCTAATGTCAGTGTGTTTTTGTTGAACTGGCCGATACTGGCTGATATTCAGCCTGTGTGTACCCAGCTATAGACACTACACTGAGAAAACGATTACTACATTTATTAACATGATTGTATTTTTGTGAACCAGTTATGCCTTAAAACAACCATGGGCATAATTCATAATTCTAGGTAATTAAAACTGGACATATGATAACAATTCATAAGCACATTACCTTAAAAGAGAAGTATGGGGTTTGTTTTGTTTCCCCAAATTATACTTGCCTACTGTAGGTGGATGCAGCATCAGTCCCATGCCAGGGTGAGAACTCGGCAATCACATGATCGCCGAACGCTGAGTTCTCACAGCCGCTGTGAGCAGAGAGCGGTGACTGTCAGTCACTGCTGCCTGCTCTGCACCCAACCCCTTGCCCCTCCCCCTCCCCCCCGCTTACTGGAACGCTTGGCGGTGGAGGGAGCAGCTGGCTCAGGCTCTCGGCAACTCACTGAGAGGCTGAGACAGGTGGCATTCGATACTCTGAGGTGGATCCCGATGGGATCTTTCCCCATCCTGGACCGGCTGAGTGATGACAGCGGGCTTTAGCCTGCTGTCAACTGAAAACAGGTCACAGGAGTGCAGAACAAACTGCACTTCTGTGATCCACAGGAGAAGTACAGCCAAAATAGCTTTGGCTGTACTTCTCTTTTAAGGTTTGAGGTCATTATATGTTTGAGGCCATTATAAATTTTATGTTTTGAATTTTGAAGACTTGTGGTTTTTTAATTTTAAAATGAATCTGCCGTCAAACCATGTTATTTTTTTTTTTTTGGATAGTATGGGGAAGGATTAGAATTGCTGTCAGTTTTATTTGCAGTCAAAGGTTCAGTTGCAGAGGCTCCTTTACTTCTTGTGTGGTCCCAAGGACAGGAAGTGAGGGCAAATCTCTCTAGCCACAATAGAAACAGAATTGAAAATTATTTTTTAAGTTAAAAAAGAATTTTGGGTTTTCAAAAAAAAAAAAAAAACCCTTTCATACTCACCTACGTGGATGGAGCATTGGTCTGATGCTGCATCTTTTCCCTGACGCCTCTAGACTAAGAACTGAGTGATCAAAAACCACTGATCACTCAGTTCTCAGTCTTCAGTGGGGAGGGAGTGGTGAATATCAGTCAATGGCTCTCTGATCTGCCCCTCCAGCACTCACTGGAGCTCCAGGCTGTGGAGATGGAGGGAACTGCTGGATCAGGCTCTCAGCAGCTTGCTGAGAGACTAAGCCAGCTGCAGGTCCAGGGATCTGGGTGGATCCCAACTTTAAAGTCAGGATCTTTCCAAAGCTTGGACCTGCCAAGTACCATCAGCAGGCTTAAACAGGTCACAGGAGGTAGAATGAAGTACACTCCTGTGATCCATAGGAAACGTATAGCCAAAAGATCTTTGGCATTTTTTTTTCTTTTGGTTTGTTTACTTTTTTAAATACATTTTTAGTCTGTCTCCTACCCCCCACCGCCTTTCTGGACTAGGTGAGAACGATGTGTTCTAGCTCCTGCAGCTTCCTGGGATATTCCAACGAAAATCCCAAGAGACTGCAGGATCAGGGACATTCAGCAGCCAGTGGGCTGATCTTGTGAGGCCCAGGCTGCAGTGCCCGGAAGGGACCGCTGGCTCCATGATGATGTCGTCCAAAAAGATGGCAGCAGATCTGCAGACCACAGAAGTCTCTGGATTCCCTGAGCAGTTGAATATGTTTTTGGTGAGAACCCAGCATACAGCATAATAGGTAAGAGAGGATAGTGAAAAAAAAATATGGAGGAGATGGTGAAGTACCTCTTGAAGTAGGGAAATGCTAAAACCTCTGTCAACTTTTTCATTGTTGGCTACTTTCCTGTTGCAAATTTTTTCCTCACTTCCTGCCTGGTAATAGGGTGTTTCCAAAACTGAAAGTTAGGGGAAATCTCTCTAAGGGAGCCCTGGATAGGTGTTCTAACCTTTCCCCATTCTATACAAAACTAAAGAAGAATGTTTTGGGTGTAGATGCACTTTAAGGTTTTTATATATACTACCACTTTATAAATGTAATCTAGCAGGTCGATTGCCTTCATCTAGAAGAATCCTTAGAATTTAGATGTGGAATACAGTGTGTTGGTTTCACTGGCATGTTAGATAACAAACAGATGGATTAAGCAGAAATATTGGACTCTGGCCTCTGGTTTACCATTTCAAAGGAGAACAAGACTAGTGTTGACAGATTAAATTGTTAGCAATGTGCCAGTCTAGGGATTTTCTACTAGAGAGCTGCTTGAGGTGACTGCTTGAGAGTTACATTCATGCACCATAGCTCAAGACTTCCCAGGGCTTTTAAAGACACTTGGCACTTTTTTTTTTTTTTTTTTATTATAAGAGATGTTACACTCATTTGCTTCCACACTGGCTAATAGACGATTCCTTCAAGATAAAATGGATTTGTCATTACAGGTAAAGTTTACACATTACAGGTGTATGGAGCGGAGCTGTCACGTGGATTGTCTGTGTACAGCATTACAATTGCGAAAGTCTGATTACTGTGTTATAATTGTATACACACGTTCTAATTAATTTTAAACTAGGGATAAACACTGATATTCATGCATGATCAGGCTTACACACAACAGCCAAGCAAGCATGTTTATGTAGTGTGCAGACACACTGGGCTGCCTTATATTTGAGGAACCATATTTATAAGATTGGTTGACCCTGGGTTGTCTGTATCGATCAGGTGTGTCCCATCCATGTAATCGGATGTTCCGAACTGACGTGTTTGTCTGGATTAGGTTCTAACCATCTTACATCTCTGGAAACCTCCTACTGCTGTCATTTACTATTGCTTTATATTACTGCTGAGTCAGACGTGACATGCTTACTCATCATAGCACTCTAACATACTTCACCACAGAAACGTTTAATTTGTCTTGTTGACTTCCCAATGCTGTAGTCACTTACTTGACAAGACATACACTGGCATAGGAGCCTTCCCTTTATCCCGTAAGCCTAGTACACACTATGAGAAAATTGGACAACTGATGGTCCAATTTTCCATGAAGGTGCATATCATGATGAAACTGAGAATATTAAGTTGTATGAGAATTCTCAAATGACAAAGGCAAACGTAACTACTTTCTAGCATAGCGTGAATGTACAATATATATATGTTAAGCGCTGCATAAACTAACATCCCTATATAAGTACCTGAAGTTAAATAAATAAGTAGCCTGATTATAATCACAGACACAAATATGCTGCTGTTCGCTGCTTGTAGCTCTTTATTGATCCAGAATATGAAAGTTCTTGTGTACGATTTTTTTTTTTATTTTCGTTGCCCTCTTTTTCCGGGTCGTTCTTCGTTTCCAAGCACACACGGTAGTTGCTATTTTCTATTCGATTACTGAACACATTGAACAAAAATTGGATGTTTTTTTTTTTTTGTAATGAATGAGAAATTTTCTATATTCCACATTCGATTTTTTTTTTTGTGTCCAAAAATTTGGAACCAGCTGTCGAAAGCACTATACTAACGAACAGATTATTGACCAATCTTTCCATTTGTGGAAGTTTTCGACACTTATCATGTGTGCAGACCATTAGACTTTTATATAGCATCCAATAAAATGTGGATATAAAAGTCTAAACATGGATACAACTATTTGTACTTACTGGTTAAATAAAGTCCAATAACCACATCACCTCTGTCATTTAATTAAACAGATTAATAGTGAGGCTATCTAAGATTTGACAGTTTGCTCATTTAAATCAGTGTATATATCCTACATTGTTGTGTATACAATGGAACAAAAAACAAATGTTCGCCATCTGGAAGGTTATTAAAGCTGAACTTAGGCACAAGTATAAAGCGTTCTACATACACGGTCTCCTTTCATAGGTTGAAAAGAGTCCATCTAGTTCAGTCAATAGAAAAACAAAATAGAAAACCTCCATACACAATCCTATACCCAAAGTTTATTCAGAGGAAGACAAAAAAACAAAGCATGATCCAATTTTTTCCAGCATTGTGAAAAGAATTGTTTCCTGATCCCCCAAGAGGCAATCTGATATTCCCTGGATGCACTACCCCTGGTGTTGTTACCTATAAATGTTAGTATCCAGTTAGATTTTGCATATTTAGGAATACATCCAGCTATGTTTTTAAAACAATCTATTGACCTGGCCAGAACTAGTTCTTGAGGGACTCCACATGTTAGCATCTCTTAGGCTTCTTTCACATTGATCAGTGGCAAAAACACGTCAAAAATGCATTTTTTTTACGTATTTTCACTGCGTTTGCAGTGTATTTTTTACAGGACATGTCACTCAAAAATCACACCAGAAATGCTTGTTTTAATTATTAATGTAGACCTTGTGGGAAGTCACTTGTCAGTAACGTACAACCTTTCATTTCTTCTTGTAGGATCTTTGCTCTTATATCCTACACAAAATAAATGTAACTGCATTTGCGGGTCCCTTTTATTTCTGTAATTGTGGGAATATGTTGGACATTGTTTATATGCTTTGTTGCCAGAGGATTTGTTGGGAAGAGATTCTTTGCAGTGTGCAGGGGTGAACGCTGTTCAACTGACCCCAGGAGTCCAATGTTGACGAATGGCCTCAGCCGCCGTTCTGGCCACGCCTTCTGATGTTTCACCCTGCCCACTAGGGCTTGGTCACAGAGGTCCTCTATGACCGAGCCCTGGTGGGCGGGGCAAAATGTGTCAGAGGGCATGACCAGAACAGCAGCTGAGGCCATTCCTCAACCTTGGACTCCTGAGGTCAGTTGAGCAGCGTCCATCCCTCCACTTGTTTTGGCTGACACTGGAATCGCTCGGTCTCATGCTCCCCTCTTTTCACTTTCTGGTGGGGTGACTCTTTTCCTTCCATCCATAGCTTGGAGCTGCACCAAAAGGTATTCTTTGCATTGTGTTCTAGTTCAGCATGAGGCTTGCATACTTGGCTCTATACATATCTACATAGACGGCTGCAACAACGAAAAGCTGTAGGGGTTTTTAAGATAAAAATATTTTTAATGAAGCCTTGAGACCTTGTCTTTGTGTTCACAGAAAATAGGTTTAAACAATAATGGATCATGGCAATTGTTGTTATTACTATAACAATACAACAAGAGTACATTTGATACAATTTTAAATGTTTTCAGTGACAGTTTTACATACAACAAGGGATACTGGCACATGTCAAAAGCAGCTTGCAGAACAATAGGAGTAGGAAAATAAAGCCGGGAAAACACAGTGGGTCCACGGGATACTGACTGCATAGATGGGGGAATTGAGTAGTTTTCTTTTCTTTCCTGCAACCCGTGGTTGCAGGAAAGAAAATCACTTCATCTATGGCCAGTTTAAGGCACGATATTTTGATTGTCCGACCAAGATCATTAATGACACACAATCATATCTGTGAAGTGCTTTTTTATCTTCCAGCATTGTATGTACGTATCTTTGTTTGGGTTGATTCTTGTTGTTAACTTTTTAAAGAGGTTAGATTTTTCTTTTATGATAACCCTTTATAATGGAAATAAAAAAAATTATTTTTTTAATCTAGCCTCCTGAACGTCAGATTGTGGTGGGAATTTGTGCCATGACCAAAAAGTCCAAGTCCAAGCCAATGACCCAAATCTTGGAGCGCCTGTGCAAGTTTGAGTACATCACTGTAGTGATTATGTCCGAAGATATCATTCTGAATGAACCTGTGGAGAATTGGCCCATATGTGACTGTCTGATCTCTTTTCATTCTAAAGGTAGCAATCTAATGCCCTTGTCTCCTAACAGCTGATGTCATGTTGTCACTGAACCTGACAACGAATTCAATGCAACTTCAAAGATAAACCATCCTTTTCAATAATTAAATGCTTTCTTCCTGCTCATTAGTTTAATGAATGAAATGTTAATGAGAAATTTCTAGCAACAGCGTTTACAATACCCTATTACATATTAAATTGTGGCAATTTTTGGGCTCTTACAGTTTATTTGGGCAAAATATATTGAATTTAGTAGGTAGTAAAAAGTGTATCAGATTGTTTAATGTATTTGTAAGCCCTCACTTTGTAAAACAACCCATTCAGTTTAAAATAGGAATAGAACATTTGTGTATAGATATATAAAAACAATTTTATAAATACCTTTATCCCCCCTGTTTTAGAAGTGATCACATATCCTCTGTTCTCAGCTGCTTAAGAGCTATACTATTTGTTTGGGCATATTGATGTCTTCTTACCCATCTCTCAAAGTTCATGTTTGTTATAAAGCATAGGAGTGACAGGCCCAGATGTAATGCACAGGATAAACTTGCTGTCTCTGCTGCTCTTGAGAGTTAGGAATCACGAGAGAATGCAGATTATGCAGGACGTTTTTCTGAAATGGTTTTTCTCTGCTTTAACTTGACAGCAGTGTGCACAGCAAATATATCAATGCATAAGAAGTTTGTGCTCTCTTTAGTGAAATATCGCATTAAGAGTCCCAGGTTTTAACCTGACTCCCACGTGTACACAGTTTTATTTAAATTCTAAGACCAATTGCGCAAGCATAGCATTTCATTATAAGTAACTCCCCAGGAACCCCATATATAAATAATGGTTATTAGAGTTTATTGTTTACATTTCATGTTGAAAAGATCAAAAAAGTATACTGCGTTATAGCTTACCATCTCAAGAACATATTTGTCATGTGATATGTATTTTTATGCACAGATTTATCTCCCTTTCTCTTCTGATTTGATGCTTTCTAGGATTTCCACTTGATAAAGCTGTTGCTTACTCAAAACTGCGTAACCCATTTCTCATCAATGACTTGGATATGCAGTATTACATCCAAGACAGGTAAAATATATTTTGTGCCATTAACAGGTCAGCATATTTTGTACTGTGTTTAACCACTTAAGCTCTGGGAGATTTTACCCCCTTCATGACCAGGCCATCTTTTGCTCTACGGCACTGCGCTACTTTAACGGACAATTCCACGGTCATGCAATGTTGTACCCAAATAACATTTGAAATACTTTTTTTTCCCCACAAACAGAGCTTTCTTTTGGTGGTATTTGATCACCACTGGGTTTTTTTATATTGTAAAAAAGACTGTACATTTTGAAAGAAAAAAAAACAACAACAATATTGTTTACAAATTTCTCTATATATTTAGGCCAAAATGTATTCTACTACATATTTTTGGTAAAAAATATCCCAGTAAGTGTATATTTGCGTTTGTGTGAAAGTTATAGCATCTACAAACTGTGGGATATATACTGGAATTTTTAGTATTTATATACTAGTAATGGCAGTGATCAGCAATTTATAGCGGGACTGTAATAGTGCGGCGGGCAAGGTGGGAACTGACTAAATTACACTTGCATCTCCAGTGACCCTTATACAGTGATCAGTGCTAATAATATACACTGTCACTGTGTTTAATGACACTGGCTAGGAAGGGGTTGGCATCTAGGGCCAATCAAGGGGTTGTGTGGCTATCAAATGTTAATGTGTTTACTGTGTGCTGCTTTGTGCTACAGATCAATTTTTTTTCTGTTCCCTATCTAGTAGGGAAAAGAAACAAAGTGATCGCTCCCTCTGTATAGAGCCCTATGTTGTTTACCAACACGGAGCTCTAGGCTGTGATTTGACACAGCAGATCCTGGTCATGAATCACAGGCAGTGACTTCTTACCAGTACGTCGCTGTCCCTGTATATGCGGCCCTGCTGCAGTAAAAATACTGTGGGGGGTCGGCAAGTAGTTAAAGAAGAATTCCATACATAGTTTATTTTTTACATAGTTACATTGGCCCGGCTTGAGCCAATGTAACTATGTATATGCCTGGCAATGCCCTGGAACCTGGAAATCACTGAAGTAGGTGACACTACTCCAGTGATTTCCACTTGCTGCACGCCCTCAGTAAGTTGGCCCCTCATTGCGGGTGCCATTCAGAGAATGCCTTGCATATCCTGAATGAATGTAAAGCTTTCTCTGATTGAATGAAGTGGAGAGTGTGATGTCACTGCCCCACCTCTTCTTATTAGAGAACACTTTGTTTTCATTCAGAAAACGTAAAGCAGCTTTTAAATGGCACTCATACTGAGCAATCTGGCCCCCTGTGTTTAGAATGCATCAGAGCTGCTGTTCAGCATGGGACCTGGAAGCTAGTGGAGGTCACTGGAGTAACAGCGTCTACTTCAGTGATTTCCAGCTTCCAAGAGGTTTGGCCAGGTATAATATATACATGGTTACACTAGTTCAAGTTGAACCAAGGTAGCTTTGTAAAAATATACGCTGCCTACAATTGCCCTTTAATTAAAGGGTTTGTGTATTAAAAACCGTATGAAAGTGTTAAATGAGACATTAATACATATTTTGAAGTTACTCATGATTATTTTATTGCTGTGCAAATAGTAGCAAATTAGTAACTAGATCTTTTAATAGTTGTGTGCCTGGAGATAGCCAGCATGGGTCAGGCACAATGTATGCATGTAGTGTACCGGTTGTTGCTGTGGCATGCTGCTACAAATGGCTCCAGATTTCAGTGACAGCTTTAAGATTGGAACATCACAGGAAAATCATGATTCAGATGGTATAGTAAGCTAACAGTAGTCGTCCCCTTTTTAACTACAGTAAACTGCTAGAAGTCAATATATGGCTGCTGTGAGAGGTTGTCTGCTTTAGATCCCTTAAATCCTGGATTAGGCTTGGCCACTAATGCATGAAGTGGTTCTTGGTTGCGGGTGCCTTTTGCATTAATGTATACACGTGTACTTTGTTCCATGCTGTGAGCAGTAAGCTGAGCTTCATTTTCTCGCTGTGTACCATTTTAACCTCTGTTTGTTTGTTTTTTATTTGATAGTAAATAAACCGTTATTAGACTCCTTGCCAAAATGAATTTTGAATACTTACCTTTTGAAAACATATGTATAGGCAAAACATTTGTTTTCCTTTTGGATAGAGTAGGGAAGAGTTAAAACCTGTCAGGTTATCTTTAGTGCCTCCAGGTCAATTAGGACTATTAAGAGGATCTTAATGCTTCAGGCAATCCCAATAGTGTGTGGCCACTGTGATTGATTGTCAGTGATCATGTGATCTGGAGGCAGTCTTACCTGCTCCTGATTGTTGCTATGTGATTAGGAGTGCGGTTGCAGTGCTGGGGGCATGCAATTGATCATGCTCTCAGTGCAAGAGAGGTACTTTTATATGTGGCATCACAGAATGAGACCCACCACAGATATGTGTACAGCCAGTGGGAAGTGGTTAATCAGCGCAGGGGGATGATTCTCCTTTTGAAGCTCTTCCAGGAGTGGTGGCTGAAGGTCTGCTAATTGCTAAAGTAGGAACTGGGTGTGCAAGGAGGAAAGTGCCAAAAGCAGAATGTATGAAGTCTAGATTTAATTTTATTCAGACTCTTATAGAATAAAAATCCAACAGGTTTTGGGGTTCCTAGGGATCCCTTTATCAGGGCTTGGTACGTTTGAACAACAGGTGTATGGTATTAGTTCACCCTATCATTTTTTTCTGTAAAGGTGAATTAACACTTTAAACTTTCATGTCCGTCCAACTAAATTTAACAAAGTCTGGTCCTGTTAGTTAGAGAACTCTTCAACTGCCACTCCATCTGACACCATTATTCATCTAGGTGACATGGTCTCTGATTGGTCACTACTCTTATATGTGACTCTCTTCTGTGCATGAGCCTTGCAAACTGTTTGATTGCTTTTTGTAGCACTATTTGTATTTTACCCATGTACATTATTATTGTATATCTATAAGTTTAAAAAAAACTGATTTTCATAAAAACCAAAAACTTACATGTCTTATGAGAAGCTAGTCAAGGTTGCAAGTTATCATGTGCTGTGATCAGCTGAAAAGGACTGAGAATCATTTTATGCTGTGAGCTGCTGGTCAGTCTTATTCATTCTAATCTGGGCTCTGCTTTATTCACTGAGCGGTCACAGGAAAATAAGAAAAATTAATAATAGCGCCTATGGTCAAAATTATATAACTTACTAATAGTGTACCAGCTGCAAAAAATCACCATATATAAAGTGTACCAATAAATAAATAATTTGCGCTAGTAAATGTGTATAAATATATAAATATATATAAAGAAATCATCAAATCATAAGTCCAGAAAAAAATATATATGCCAATACCACAAAAAAATAAAAAAACTTTTAAGTGCAAAAAACTTTTGTGCAAAAAAAGTGTCTAAATATGAAAAATTTCACCAAAAAACCTAGATAATATAATGGCAGATCATCCATAAATATATCTTCAGAAACGGAAACTCTGCAACACACCGATCCTCATCGATCGAAATAACAGGATGAAAAACTTTGTAGTTAATCGAAAATCCACTTCTCCAATAGATAAAGGATCACCTTCAAACGTATCCATGGGGGGAAATGCCAAGCACTCGAGAGAAACAGAAAGACTTCATGGTGCAATATTATAAAAACCAATTCCTTTATTAGGTACTCATTGCACTTACTCAAGAGGTGCCCCAGCCGACACCAGCATCAACAGCATAACAGCAATCACATAAACGAGCCTGGCTACTCAGCACATGCGCAGTAGCTGGCAGCCAAAAACGTAATGACGTCACATCAATCAAGCTCCGCCCTACGCGTTTCGTCATCGACGTCCTCACGGAGCGGATAGATGTGAGACGTCTCAACCTCCTTAAATATTCACTCACAGGAAATGAACAGCTGACATCAATGGGAAATCAAGCAAAGCAAGCCGCCCCACAGATGACAGGAGTCCACAAAGGATATACAATGTATCCAATATATTTGCCATCACAAGCAAAAAAACTTTAAAACAAGAGAACAAAAATAGAATAAAAGGAAATTTGAATAAAACACTAATGATAAATAAATTAAATAAGTAAATACATTAACGGGCCAGCACCCTCTAAGACTGTGTTTGAAAAAGGGAACTTAAAGGGCCAGTAACACTTTCAACACAAATAAAGGGGAACTCTAGTAATAATACAAAAATAATGCAAAAATTGTACAAAAAACATACAATCTCCCATATATCATCTTTAAACAGTTGCCTATATAAAAATATACTTAAAATAACATAAAAATTAAAAATTTGTGAGAAAACAATTCAAATCTATATCGACATTTAACCCAAATGGTTGCAAGGAATTTAGTTCATAAATCCAAAACGTCTCTTTTTTGGAAATCTCATTAACCAAATCCGAGCCCCTCCAATGGGGTTTTACCATCTCGATCCCATAAAAGGTAAGTAAGCTCGGATCACAATTATGTACCAATTTGAAATGTTTGGATACACTATGTTTATCAAATCCTTTTACTATGTTTCTTATATGTTCGCCTATTCTTGTTTTTAAACATCTCCCAGTTCTCCCAATATATCTCAAATGACATGGACATTCTAAAACATAAATCACATGTGTAGAATTGCATGTAATCAGGGATTTAATATCATATTCTTTTTTGGAAAATGAAGAGCAGAATGACTTTCTTTTTTTATTGGAAAAAAGAAAAAAAAAAAGTGAGCGCTCTCCAATCAGCAGCCAAAGCACATAAGGTAATCTCAGCAAACCTTCAGAAAATATACATAAATAAAGTGTGGCGCTTAATGAATAAAATAATAAAATAAATATTCAGATGATCTGAAAAGCACAGTAAGGTATGGGACACAAACTATGATAAATAACGCAGAAAAAAAGGTGACTAATACATCAAGTGAAAAAACATAACAATGTCCAGACAAAATGTCGCAGGATCCTGTGTGTAAAAAGCTGGATATATCAGGATCAAATGGTAGAATTGCGCACTCACCGGACGCGCTAAGGATATGCGCATAT